TCTTTACTTAAAAATAGAAAATTACTTAGAGCAGCAGATACTACCCAACTTTTTATTGGTGTTCTTTATACTGGCAGATACTTAGCAAGTACTTTTCTCCTTTCTCTTAAAATAAAGTTTCAAAAATAATCCCTGATACACAAACACTCAGTAAAACTTAAGCTAAAGATCTCAGTAATAATGCCCACTATAAACAGTAGTGGCTGGTGGAATTAGAGGTAAGCTTAGTAGAACTAAACTAAAAACTTGTATTCTTTTCCTCCATGAATTAAATGATTCTCTTATTCTGTGTGGTTCATTATAGAACATGAGGCATACTATACTGGAAAGGCATCAGGCTAAAAAATTATATGGTCTTAAGGTCGTTGGGTAATTTCTTGGGGCCTTGTTTCCTCCTCTGTGTGATAGAACTAATATATAATGAGGTACCTGTCCAGCCTACCTCACAGGGTTGTTGTGAGGATAAAATGAGAATGATAATTTTGAAACTGGCTTTAAAAAAATTAAAGTGTGTATATAAATGCAAGGTGGTATTTTTGTTCTTACAAAAGTTACCTCATAGGTTACTTAGGTTCATGAGCTCAAAATATTTTAGAATCCTTGCATATTAGAAATGTAAAAATGGTCTGGCCCAGCAAAAGTGTTCACTAGTTCATCTTGCCTACAGGCCTTTCAGCCTGTACCACAGACAGAACACTATGGTCTCCGTTCTTTCTTATTGGCCTGCAACAGTGACTCTGGATCACCAAGCAGTTGGCTGGCTATTTCAAGGCTGGTTAATAGGATCTTTTATCTATTGAAGACAGCAAAGTATTGCACAAGAGGAAGGAGCTGGGCTGCAGGGAGAGAGCAGCAGATGGAAAGAAGCCTGATTGTCCTGATCTCATGGAAAACAACTGTCAGGAGGTGCTAGGGAACTAGTGCCAGGGTCAGTCTGCAGGAAAGGCCTTTCTTATAGGGACCAACAGCTGGACAGGTATGTTAGCCAAGAACCTCACTATCCAATTCCCTTTCTAACTTTCCCACCTTTAGTTTACTCTTCCTGTTCCTTTGCACATGATTTGGGCCTGGGTGGTATGACTAACAGTCATTCTGTGGGACCCCAGGTGAATTCCAAGGACCTCTGTGATGGTCATGATCCAGATAATCTGTCCTACATTTCCTCTCACAAACTACGAGGTGTTTTTTTTTTTTTTTTTTTAGCTACTCTGTGGGAAGAAAGAAATATACCCCCTCATCCCTCTGAAGTTTTGTGCTGATTTTTTCCCCCCTCTCCCCCACTAAACCAAATCCCTGCATTCCTGTTGCACCTTGTCTCTTAACTCTTAACCAGCTTATTCATACCCTCTTTCTTTCTCTGCTGTCATCTAGGATGGAGGCACCAGAGGACGCCGCTGTGCCATTGAAGCAGACATGAAGATGAAAAAGTGAAGCCTCAAGAGTGTTCTCTTTGAGCTAAACCTGAAATAGTAGTAAACAAGATAGAGCTTGGGCTTGTGGGCCCTGTTCCAGAACTGGGAATTACAGAAGAGGAGGCGCCGGGCCGCATGACATGAGCTGGAAAAATCTCTCTCAGAGAGTTGGAAGTAACACATTTGCCTGTTTTAGGGCAAAAATCATGGGCTGTGTTAATGCCCTCATGTGTAGCTAGCAGATTGTAGCTAGTTTGTACTGTCTTGTGAAKTGTACAGACTTTTTAAAAATAAATCTGTGAAGTGCGTGTGTATACAATAAAATGAAAAAAAATCTCTGGCCTTTAGGGTGTCTTTTGTGTGTGTGTGTGTGTTTGTATTTGTGTTTGAAGCTTGTGGTTTCTTCTACATTATCACTGTTTACTCATTTGTGAAAATGAGATTGTCAGGGGAAAGTGGTCTTATGAGCTGCCTGCTGCAGCCAAGAAAAGGTAAGTAACCAAGATCAAACTAATGTTTTAAAGTATTGTGCAATAAGGACTATCTTACTCGGCTTTTCTTATATGTTAGGGAAATTAAGGGTTATCAGAGATCTGTTCATGGCATCGCTTGAAGATTAATAAGATTGTAGACAGAGGTAGCATTGACCTTTATCTCAATGACATTGTGTCATTTAACACTCTTCACTGATGTTTCTAGGGTATTATCATTTTCTCCTCTTTTTTTTTTTTTTATTTGTCAATGGACCTTTTTTTAATTAATTTATTTTTGTATTGTACGTGGTGCTGAGGATTGAACCTAGTGCCTCACACATGCCAGGCAACACTCCACCACTGATCCACAGTCTTAGCCCTCCTCTTTATTTCTATGTGTAGAACTTTTATGTACAGAGTTTTTGTTTTGCTTTGTTCTTTTTATTATTATTATTAGTTGCAGAGGAACACAGTATTTTTTGTTTATCTTATTTGGTGCTGAGGATTGAACCCCGGGCTCACACATGTGAGGCAAGCACTCCACCACTGAGCTACCACCCCAACCCTTGCTTTATTTTTATTGAGAAAGGATCTCACTTTGTTGCCCATGTGGGTGTGAATTCACAATCCTCCTTAGCCTCCCAAGTAGTGCACCACTGCACCCACAGAGTTCTTTACATTGTTCTTGGAAGGCTAACCTCAGTTTAAGAATTACCAGTGTTGAGCTGGGGTTGTAACTCGGGTAAATTACTTGCCTAGTGTGTGCAAGGCCCTGGGTTTGAGCCCCAGCATAGCACTGTAGTGTGTGTATTACTAGATACATATAATATGTATRTATAATTTTATATATATAAATACTATTTATATATATAATGAAGCAAGAGGATCTCAAATAGTTCAGTGGTAGAACTCTTTGCCTAACAAGTGCAAGAACTTGGATTCAGTCCCAGCACTGCAGAAAACAAAAGATGGGGGGAGTAAAGGTGAATAGGATGKTTTGTAGCACTTTATATCTTGAGAAAGATGAGTTTAAGAAAGATACAATTAGGACTGGGGATATGGCTCTGTGGTAGAATGTTTGGCATGCACAAAGCCCTGTGTTCCATCCCTAGTACTGCCAAAAAAAAAGTAATGTTTAGAAGTCACAGTTCTTTTCGCCTTAAATAGAACTGTTTATAAAGCCTGTTAGAAAGATAAGCAAGTAGAAGATAGTCTTTATGAGACAATGGAAAAGAATTCAGTCCAGGAGTTAGAAAAATGTGAAATAAAGCCATCCAAACAGGCATGTGATGTTACTGAAGCACTAAAAGGTGAAAAAGGTCTATTAAATAAAGAACATAGATTTAGGGTTGGTAGAGAAAGTGATGGATGAGATTAGGAAGCCAAGTTGAAGTTTAGGCATAGGTGGTGGGGGCAATAAAGTGATTAATTAGAACAGATCATAGTAAGAAAATACACCAGAGGGGAAAAAATAGGGCTATCTTAGGACTTTGAATGGCCAATTGAGAAATTTATATTTGAGATTTCTAAAGCCTTTAATAAGGAGACTTGTTGAGAGCAGATCGAATACAGAAAATGAAAGAGATGCATTTGTACAGCAACAAAGGCACAGAAGAATCATAGTGGGGGCAAATTGGGAATAGAATTTGCTTACTGAATACAAGAGAAGTGTTAAAACACAATTAACAAGTTCTTATAGAGTAGTAGTGTTGGTGATGGAAATAAGGAAGTTGGAAAGAAATTATYTTGGATTTAGGAAGAGGTCATTATAATTTTAGAAATGTGGAGTTAAAGCAGATGGTAGGGTATTGACTTAGATGCATAGAGAAATGAGATAAAAGTGCATATAATTAAAGATGGAGAGATTTGGAAATTACCTGAATAGAGGACAAAATTGAAATTACGTGTGTATTGGGGCTGGGGATGTGGCTCAAGCGGTAGCGCGCTCGCCTAGCGTGTGTGTGGCCCAGGTTTGATCCTCAACACCACATACAAACGAAGATGTTGTGTCCACCGAGAACTAAGAAAAAATAAAATAAATGTTAAAATTCTCTCTCTCTCTGTCCCCCTCTCTCTCTCACTCTCTTTAAGAAAAAAAAAAAGTGTGTGTGTGTGTGTGTGCAATTTTTTTTTTTTTTTTGAGGTGTGATATGGAGGTTCAAACCAGGGGCTCTTTACCACAGCCCATTTATTTTTAGAGCCTTGCTAAATTGCTGAGGTTGGCCTTGAACTTGTAGTTCTCCCTCTTCCACCTCAAGATGCTGGGATTACAGGCATGTACCACTGCACTCAGCTTCTGTATACATTTGTTGGTTGGTTGGTTGGTTGGTTAGTACTGGGGATTGAACCCAGGGGCACTCAACTACTGAGCCACATTCCCCAGCCATTTTTATTTTTTATTTAGAGAGAGGATCTCACTGAGTTGCTTAGTCCTCACTAGGTTCCTGAGGCTCACTTTGAACTCCCAATCCTCCTGCCTCAACCTCCTGAGCTGCTGGGATTATAGGTTTGCACCACTGCACCTGGCTCTATATACATTTTTTAATGGAAGTATTAAGGAAGCAGAGAACCAAGCAAAAACAAAAGAAAAGCCTGTATTTAAAGTTGTAAAAGGGAGAAGACAAATCTAAAAAAAATTTTARAGCCAGGATAGTGTAGTACAATGAACAAGGGAAGATAGCATTAAAACTTCATGTTTCTGTTTTTACTACGAAAAATGATAGTTGGATATGACCAAAAGTGAATTTTAAGGATGTGATGGTTAATAGGTTATGTATTTGCTGAGGAATATACCTCTTGCTCCCTCAAATTTGATGCCTTTTAGCTGAAYTTATGGGTTATTTGGGATAAAGGAAGTCTGTTAAGCTAACTRTGTCTAGTTCTTTCCCTTCTTACGGAGTATGAGGAAATCCAAGTAAAAAACATTATTGGGTAATGTGTATTATGTTGACATGAAGCTTTTTCTTATTTTAAAAGATTATTTCATTTCTTAATGTTTCCTTTCTGCTAGTTTTTGTACTTCCTAATAATGAATAGAGAAAAAATTCTGGCCCCTTGTATTTCTACTGAACTTGGAAGATGGAGATGCCTTAGGGATATTATTTGAATAAATTTAATGCATTTTTGTTCTGTGTCTTTACAGATGGGGCGTGAGTGGGTTTGGTTGGATTCTGAACAAGACTATCCCAATGACTCTGAGTTGAGCAACGACTGCAGGTCCCTCTTCAGTTCATGGGACTCCAGTCTGGATCTTGATGTGGGCAGCTGGAGGGAAACTGAAGATCCAGAGGCTGAGGAWCTAGAGGAAAGCAGCCCAGGGAGAGAAACTAGTGAGCTGCTTGTGGGAGATGCAGGCAGTGAGGAATCTCAGGAAGAGGCAGAGCAAGTCAGCCGCCAGAACCTCCTCCACTTTCTTTCTGAGGTAATAGTGGGCATTAATTCCAAAGCCAAAAGAACATCCAACTTTTTAAGAGAATGCTCACCCTTACATGTAGCTACCTTTTTCTATATTTACTAAAATATGAGGCCCATAGTGGCAGTGACTAAGTTAATTGTTGTGTCCCCTGCACTTGGTGCTGATACAGAATATGCACCAAATAGTCTTTAGGGAGCTAAAATCAAAGGAGTGGAATTTCTATATATAGGACTGCCTTATGAGAATCCTTGCAATTCATTCTTTTTTTTAATTTTTTTTTTTGGGGGGGTGAACCCAGGACTGAACTCGGGCATTCAACCACTGAGCCACATCCCCAGTCCTATTTTGTATTTTATTTAGAGACAGGGTCCCACAGAGTTGTTGAGCACCTGCCTTGCCATTGCTGAGGCTGGCTTTGAACTCGTGGTCCTCTTGCCTCAGCCTCCCCAGCCACTGGGGCAATTCATTCTTTAAGAGTCATGAGAAGTTATACTTGACAAAACTCTCCTTGAAGCTTAAAATATTATAATTTAAGGCAGTCCCCCCAGCCCCATACTAGAAATTGAACCTACGGGCACTCTACCGCTGAGTTACTGTACAGCYTTTCCCCTAACCCTCATTCCCAGAGACTGCATTTCACTAAGTTGTTGAGGCTGACAAACTTGAATTTGCAATCCTCTTGCCTTAGCTTCCTGAGTCACTGAGATTACAAGTGTGTACCATTGTGCCTGGCTGCAAGTCAGAATTTTAAAGGGTTTTATTAACTTGGTACAGAGATAAGGACAAGAAATATATTGATAAGAAATATAGGGCTGGGAATGTGGCTCAAACASTAACAYGCTCGCCTGGCATGCGCGGGGTGCAGGGTTCGATCCTCAGCATCACATACAAATAAAATAGAGATATTGTGTCCACCGAAAACTAAAAAAAATAAATAAATATTTTTAAAAAGAAATATAATYATTTGGACAAAAGAATTTATTTATGCTACAACTGAACACAGGATGAGCAAGGATCTAGTTCAGATGTTGCCACTTGTCTCTGTAGAGTCTGTAGCAAACACATTTTTCAAGTTTTCTAGACAGCAAGTCCCAATTGATCAAAACTGAAAATTGAGAACATAAGCTCCTTGAAGATGCATGAACTATATCTTTCTTGTTTACTATAGCATCCCTAGCAACTAACCCAGTGCCTATGTATACATTTGATAGGTTTGATTTCAAACCTATCTGCCATCTCAAGCATAATCACAGTGTCAGTGTAAGCATATGCCATTAATGATGTGTGGATAATTTGCATGGAGTTTCTGTACACTTTGATTACAGGTTGCTTATTTAATGGAGCCATTGTGCATTAGCAGCAAAGACTCAAGTGAAGGCTGCTACCCTCCATCTGGTACCAAACAACAAGAGGGAAGGGAAATTGAAGCCACTGAAGGAGAAGGGAATCCCTGCAGAGAAATTAAAGAGCCTTTAGCCAAGGTAGAACCCTTAATAGCTGAAAAAAGGCTGCAGGGAGAAAATGGAAAGCCTGAGGTGGTTCCTGTTCCCTCAGATATTAGTGCGGTTCAGGGACTACCCACAGAGAGTGAAGAGGTAAGTAAATAATTTAAATCAGCTGTCTGGTTGGTCTTCAAGGGGAGGTAGAGCAGAGTGGTTAGAGCTCATAGGTTAACTGCAGAGGTTTATAACTACCTGGTCCAAATCCTGGTTTTAGTACTAGTTTTAGCTGTGTGTTCTTCGGCATATTACCAAATATTTTAGAACCTCAGTTGTCTCTGCTCCAAATAGGATAATGTGTTCTATTTTGTAGGTTTGCCATGAGATTTAAATGAAACAGTTCACCCAGTGTCCTAGCTGAGTTCAGGAGTTTGAGACCAGCCTGGGGGACATTATCTTGCCAGTGGTTGTGGTGGTGCATGCCTATAATCCCAGGCAAGGGGATTGCAAATTCAAGGTCAAAYTGGGCAATTTAGAATCTGTSTTTTAAAAAAAAGGATTAGGAAAGTAGCTCAGTAGTAAAGCATCCCTGAGTTCAATCCCAAGTACCAAAATAAAAACAAAACAAAATTTTATACATATAAAAATATATAAAAAAATTCTGGCCAGCTATAGTTGTTACTTCAGGGCCCACAGATTCTACTGATAATTTCAAAGAGTACAGCATCTGACTAAAATTGAGTAAATATTGTTTTTTCATTTGGGGGTTGAGGAGGCAGAGTTAAAATTCTCTAGCAAGATACTTACTAAGAATTTATTGATTTAGGTCTAATTAAGTCGGCTTTCTCTAATTTCTTTTATAGCTTTATAATAATTTGCCTCTTCTCACCTTAAGTTTAGCCTTATTTTATTCTGTGCAAATAAAATTACCACACAAATAGTAAAAGTTTCCTTAAATTCTCAGGGTGAGGTTCAGCTAGAATCCAAAGAGGAGGATCAAGGTGAAGGGTATGCTTCAGAGATGGAAGACCAGCCCCCTTCAGGAGACTGTGATGATGGTTTCAGCATTCAGGAAACTCCCCTTGTGGATATCCTCCTCAGTCATGCAAACTCCTCCAAACTGTAAGTATAGATCTGAGGAAATAGTTCAGTGGTAGAGAATTTGCTTAACATGTTTGAAGCTCTTGGTATGATGCCCAACATCATACAAACAAATTTAAAAAAAAAACCCTATAAGTAGAGATTTTTATCCAAGATTAAGATTCATACTTTAACTTCTGTTTATTATTCCTATTTAAATGTGTTACAATGAAATGAGTTACTTTTATAAGTTAAAAAAAAAAGAAAAAACACTGTGAATTAAATATGTTTGTTGGATTTTTGTTTTGTTTTGTTTTGTTTTTGTTAGGTTTGAGGAAAGGTCTTCTTATATTGCCTAGTCTGGCCTGGAATTCCTGGACTCAGAAATTCAGGCATGTGCCACTGCACTTAGGTTCTATATACATTTATTGGTTGGTTGGTTGGTCGGTTGGTTGGTACGTACTGGGGATTGAATGCAGAGGCACTCAACCACTGAGCCTCATTCTCCAGCCATTTTTATTTTTTATTTAGAGAGAGGGTCTCACTGAGTTGGGCTCCCTGTTCTGATAGAGTTCTACAACTAATAGCATTTGTACTGGGCATGGTGGCACATGCCTGTAATCCCAATGACTCAAATATAATTTTGGGGGATACCTGGGATTGAACTCAGGGGTGCTTAACCACTGAGCCAAATCCCCAGTCCTTTTTTGAATTTTTATTTAGAGATAGGATCTCATTAATTTACTTAGGTCTTGCTAAGTTGCTGAGAATGGTTTTGAACTCATTATCCTTCTGCCTTAGCTTTCTGAGCTGCTGGAATTACAGGCGTGTGTTACCATGCCTGGCACCAAATGTAAATTTTAACATCATATAAATACAGATCTATAGGCTCTCCTATTATAAAACAAGTCTGATTCATCAACACTGAGTGTCCTTTAATTCTTCTTTCTTAATTACTAGGCTTCATTTGTTCAGGAAAGATTGCTAAGTCAGAATGTTTCTTAAATCTATTGCAGGGTGCAGTACTAGAGACTAAACCCAGGAGTACTCTACCACTGAGCTACATTCCCAGCCTTTTTTTAATTTCAATTTTTAAATTTTGAGATTGGGGGGTGGTTCTCACTAAATTGCCTAGGCTAGGTTCAAATTAGTGATCCTCTTACTTTAGCCTCCTCAGTAGCTGGGATTACAGGTGTGAGTCACTACACTAATCATATAATCTTTATTAGAAAGGAATAGATACTAGTTTCCATATTTACTTGGCATGATACCTTAAGGGGAGATTAAAAAGGTGATTTTTTTGTTGTTGTTATTGGTAGGGAAGCATAAAACTACTTTAAAAGAAGACATTCAGAGGTGGGGAGTGGAATATAGTTATCCAGTAGAGTGCTGCTTACCTAGCATATCCAAGGCCTTGAGTTCAATCCCCATCACTGTAAAAAATAAATGAATAAATCTCTAGAGCCTTCTTCTTAGGTACTTCCCTTGGTCTGTACTGATCTCTCAAGAAGAAAAGAAGAGTCTTTGGAGCACCATTCCCAGTCTGAAGGATCTTTCCAGTCTCACTTTTATTTTACTATCATTGCTTGGCATTCATTCCCATAAAGGTAGGCAAGGAATTTCTACAACAAAGTTGTGATTATGAAGTTATAATCCTAGCATAGTGCTTTTCGTATGGTAGGTACATTAAAGGTCTATTATATGGATATGTGAATGAAGTTGTACCACCAGTACCAAGGAGAAATTGTTCATTCTGTTGAGTGACCAGAAACAAAGAAGTTTGTTTTGGGCTCCCTGTTCTGATAGATTTCTACAAATAATAGCATTTATATGGGTATGGTGGCACATATCTGTAATCCCAATGAATCAGGAGGCTGAAGGAGAAGGATTGCAAATTTGAGGCCAGACTCAGCAATTTAGCAAGACCTGTGTCTCTAAATAAAATATAAAAAGTGCTGGGATTATGGCTCAATCCTCAGTATTAAAAATAATAATAATAATAATAATAATAATAGCATTTTCTTGGCATGATGTGTTCTGTAATCCCAGCTACTCTTGAAGACTGAGGCAAGAGGATCACAAGATTAACCAAGGTCAGTGTGGACAATTTAGCAAGACCCTGCATCAACATTTAAATTTTTTTTTAATTAAAAAATAAAAGAGGTCTGGGATTGTGGCTCAGCGGTGGAGTGCTGGTCTGGCACGTACAAGGCCCTGGGTTCAATCCTCAGTACCACATTAAAAAAATGAATAAACAAAATAAAGGTATTGTGTCCAACTACTTCTAAAAAATAAATATATATATATAAAAAAAAGATTGGGATGTAGCTCAGTAGTATAGCGATTAGCCCTAGTTCAATCCTAAGTACCACCAAAAAGAAAAAGAAAAAGAAAAATTGAACCAGTACTCTTCTAAAGAAAAGCTAAATAGGGCTGGGAATATAGCTCAGTTGGTAGAGTGCTTGCCTCAGATGCACAAGACTCTGGGTTCATATCCCCAGCACCATAAATAAATAAATAGATAGATAGATAGAAAGAAAGACAGTTTAGCTCAGAGAAGGAAGGAAAAATGGTTTTGTCTTAGGTATTTTAAAGATCACTATACAGGGGAAAGTGAAAAAGAAAATTACTTAAATTGTTATTTGGTATGTGAAGTAAATGTTTCTTTCTTTGGAAATATGGGAGAGGTTGTATTAGTGTGACATATTTCTGCATAAAAACAGGACCAGACTAACTTATCAAATACCTACTGAGCACCTACTATGTGCCATGTTCTGTCACAGGCACTTGGGAAACATTGAACAAAGACTACTTTCAGCCTAGCATGGTGGTGCATGCCTGTAAACCCAGCGRTTTGARATGCTGAGTCAGGATGATTGCAAGTTCAAAGCCACCCTCAGCAATTTAAGGAGATCTAGTCTCAAAAATTAAAAAGGGCTGGGGATGCAGCTCAGTGATGGAGCACCCTGGGTCCAATCTCCAGTACCAAAAAAAAAAAAAAGAGCGTTATCCTAGACCAGTTATTTAAAGTCATGGCTGCTACAAAACAAATCTTCAAGAGTAGTAGAAAAGGTGGGGCTGGGGTTGTGGCTCGGTGGCAGAGTACTTGCCTTTCACATGTGAGGCACTGGGTTTGATCCTCAGCACCACATAAAAATAAATAAAAATATTGTGTCCATGTATAACTAAAATTATATATTTTTAAAAAGTAGAAAGAGTAGAAAAGGTGCCAGGCATGGTAGTGCACACCTGTAATTCCAGTGGCTCAGGAGGTTGAGGCAGGAGGRTTGAGGGTTCAAAGCCATCCTCAACAACTTAGTAAAGACCTGAGCAACCCACTGAGACTCTGTTTCTAAATAAAATACAAACAAGGGCTAGGGATGCGGCTTAGTGGTTGAGTGCYCCTGGGGTCAATCCCCAGTACTCTCCCCTGGAAAAAAAAAGGCATTAAATATATTTTTATTCCTGTGGTATTATATTCCTTCAGGTATTAAAATTAGGAGCACTATGCATTGAGAAAACCTCATCACTGGAGAGACAGAATACCATTTGTAAAGTTAACTATCTCTTTTCTGTCATGTTGTATCTTCTAGGACTGATCTAAGTCAAGGTGACCCTGTTCAGGATCATTTGCTATTTAAAAAAACTCTTTTGCCAGTCTGGAAGATGATTGCCAGTCACAGGTGGGTCTCCACAGTGGTAATAGGATTATGTTCAGAACTGAGGCATTAGCATGTTAGGTCTTAAGTATAAAAGGAGATATGTTTATCCCTCAAACAGGTCATAATACCTAAGACTCAGCTGCTTTTACTGGTCTGTACAAGAAATAGTTACTGCAGCTAAATTCAGTAGCCAAGCTGTGGAACCAACCTAGGTACCCCTCAACAGATGAATGGATAAAGAAAATGCGGTATATATACACAGTGGAATATTACTCARCTATAAAGAAGAATGAAATTATGGCATTTGCCGGTAAATGGATGGAACTAGAGAATGTCATGCTAAGTGAAATAAACCAGTCCCATAAAACCAAAGGCTGAATGTTCTCTCTGATATGTGGATACTAACCCACAACAAGGAAGGATGAGGAGGGGAAGAATAGAAGTCCATTGTATTAGACAAAGGGAAATGAAGGGAAGGGAAGAGGGGAGGAGAATAGGAAAGACTGTAGAATTAATCAGACATAACTTTCCTGTGTTATATATGAATACATGACCAGTATAATTCCACATCATGTACAACCACAAGAATGGGATCTGATCCTAATTAGAATAAGTTATACTCCATATATGTATGATATGTCCAAATATGCTCTAYGATCATGTATATCTAAAAATAAATAATAAAAATGTTGCTGTGCCATTTGAATTGTCTCCTGAAATTGATTTATATTACATGATATTTTGTACTTAAAATATGTATGCCTCCTTACAATATGACATATGGTAGATTCTTTTTTTTTTAACAGATAAAGGCCCTCAGGAGCTTTGAACAAATTTCTGAGCTCTAAATTAGTATGTTATAATAATAGTTAAATATTTCACTGTTTTTTTTTTT